CTAAATCTCGGGCGTTGCTTTGATCTCGCACGATCGTGGTGGGACACTCGGCACGCTCCTTCTGCTTCGTGAAGTCTGGTTCTTGCAGTCCCATCGAGGCGATCCGAGCGAGAGCTGCGCCCGCCGAGAGCCACGCAACTGCGTGTATGCCAGCACCAGCAATGAATCCAGCTGAAAGCTTCTCTAGATCGGCCGGGACCATAAGGGACCATCTGGCAGGTCTGGTGATCCCCGCATGATGTGATTGTGTTTCAATTCCATGGCGCAGGCACCACCAGCTTCTGACCTGCTCGGGTGAATACCAGGGACGTTATGTCATCATAGTTATTGTATAGTTGGCGCCGAATGTTTTTGCATACGTGACTGCGCATCACCGTCGAAGGACGCGCGCATGCATACCATTCCCGCTAAAACAAAAACTTGCACACTGTGTGGATGCACTGGTTACCAAAGTGACATTTGGAGTCGCAGAAATGGGGGCGAGGCCGATTGGCGATGCAGCTTCCGGCTCAATTCAGCAATTCAAGAGCCTCCTCGTGTGCCTGTTCTTGCACCGTGCCGCTCCATGCTCAGTCAGACATTCGAAGCAATCGTTGGTTTAGTGCGGTAACACCATCGAAACCCACGCGACGTTTCGAGGATATGAGCCGCGTCGCCAAATACGAGGTGCGCTTTCTGCAAGACATTCTGGCTTGCGCGAGTGCTTCCTGCAGATCCGCAGATTTCTTTTCAAGGGCCCTCTGCTCCCTGCGTGCATAGGTCTCTGTCCTGTTTCTATGCAAGTGTGTATGCTGTTCTGCACTTTACGGCCTCTACCAAACCCACTGTCGTAAAAGCGGCACGAGTCCAAGCAGTGGGGGTTCGTTAGGGCCGAAGCTTTGACAGATTACAAGGTTCGGAGCCCAATCCCTGGAATCATCATCGAATTGCCAAGTCTTCAAGTCGCTTTCAAAGCTTGATCTCATGTTTGCAGAGGCCTTTGCATCCACGGATGCATGGTTTTTGCACAAGAGTCATTGCTCTCATCGCGTGCTAACTGGCCGGACGAACCTAGATTCGGGCTTAAACCATAAACGTTACCCGAAGCTCAATATTCTAGACCCTAAATCTCGTATTAGTATTGGTGTTTGTATATTTGGTGCAATTTACTTAAACGCCCGCAGACCAGTGTTTGCCTTCACAGCTGTTTGCTCACATTCGTGGGAGGCTGTCAGATCATCACCAACCAAGCTGGCGAGACGGTCTGGGACTCCAAACATTTGAGATTAACTTGACAAAAAAAGTGTTGTCTGAGGTGATCAAGCTTTTACACGGACGCTCTTGGCAATTTCCAGGGCGAGTGAGCGGTTTGTACCTGCCAGTGACCGAAGAGTACAAAGCTTATCGGCTCACCGCAGCAAGTGGGCACGTCCGTTTCTGGCATCCTTACATGTGATTTTTGTCAGCAGTACGAACAAAGAGCTTTAAAAACTTGTTATGGCGCTTGTTGTGTTTTGCGTCGGTGTCAATATATGTTCCGCATTACATTTGCAATATCTCTGTGCTGAATGTTGGCTCTAAGCACTTAGTGTTCTTATCTTTGCGTTTTGCAGGCCCATCAATGAAGGATTTTGACTCATTTGTGAAGCTGTCGCTTGAGACTTGTCGCAAGTGATGTTCGCAGGTACTAGACCGTGAAGAAGCGATCCACGATGACTTCGAGGCAGGGCTTAACTTAATGTCGTACTGTTGTGTGTGAGACCTGTCTGTAGTGTATCCCACAATCGTCACTAGCACCGGTTTGCAGCCTTTTCTGGGCCACAGCTTTGTAACGACCTCAGTGATTTTTACGTGATGGCGATTCGACGATGGTTTGCACGGCCTCTCATCTTTGCAATCATAAGTGCAGTGGTCTGGTGGGCGAGAAGGAGGCAAGAGAGGAAGCTTGGCAATAGCACATGCTTCGCGTGCAACCGTTGCCACGTCCAGCTGTACGCTTTGTCGGCTCGATCAACCGATGGCGGATTCTACTGTTCTGGTTGCTGGGAAGAGCAGAAGGTCCATGCATCCACCCACGTGAAGATGGTGATGTACCCGCCTCGCACCCCGCAATGTGGTGTGTGTCAACGGGTGGCGTCTCGGTTGTTGGTGCCGGAGTTGTGTGGATACCAGCATGCAGACCCAGAATGGACAAAGAGAACAACACCGCCACAGTGGACTTGCGACGAATGCTACAAAGGTCCAAGTAAAGCTGTGCTGTACCACCATCTCCATGTGCTGTCAAAGCTCGATCTGCCTTTGCCCCTCACATCTCTACACGATGTAGATATCTACGTGACGGACTTCTGTTTTCCAAAGAAAGGTGATGCTGTAGCAATGCAAAAGCTTTTGACGGGGCGTATGCAAAAGTGCTACAAACATTTGCACATCATCGATGGGGTGGACGCCACCGCTTCGGACTTGGTGGAGACGCATTGTCATGGTTGCGCACCGACTGTGATTTTGTGGGGCAGCCCTCACATCAATGTCTTGGCGGACCAAAACCCCACTAACCAGATCAAGCAAGAATCGGGCATGCATAACTGTGAGTGGAAGCTAGAAGCTTTTCGTTGGCTGGCCAAACATTACCCGTCGAGTTTGATCTTATGTCCTCTCAGCAGCCATCACCATTTGGGCACGGCCGTGAACCCGATGATGCATCTAGCAAGTGACGACGGGCTGCTGGCCTATGAGCCGCTGGCATCGCATCCCTTTCACCTTCAAAGGTTATGTGGTCCCTGTGAGTTGGACGTGCTGTCCAACATGGACGCGGCTGGATCGGTGGATGTACGGGATGCAGTGCTAAGCGCTTGCGACCGTGCCATGCAGGACAAAGGTCGTGCGTCCATTTTGTTTCTAGGCGAATATACCACGTCCTTGGCCTACTCGATTTTGATGTAAAATCAGCGCAAAAGGCTTTGCAACGCTCGGATTCATCTCGGGTTTCTCACCGTCAATTTCCTTTGCCAGGTTCTACTTTGCGATCGTTATGGTCGGATATGTGGAAGAAAGAGACTTGGCGCATATTGTGTTTCTGCCATGGTACAATACAGCACAGATTTGTGCGGGCAGGCGAGCAACCATAAATGGTATGTCCTTCAAATATTTGGGTAATATGGTCGGAGCCTCAGTTGACATGTTGTGGAGCTTCGTTGTTGTCACTCGTTTGCACGATAAAGCAAAGCCACGTGTCGATGCGCATGCATCACCTTGGCCCCTTGCAGGACACCTTTTTGTGACCATTCTTTTGTACAGGAAATAGGCGAAGGGGCATGCATGTGTCTTTCGCAATCTTTCTTTTGCGGTCGCCTTGAAAATAGAGTGCCCCGCTGCCGTGCTTCTTCTCGCATGCCTTTGCCGCCTGGCTGTGTCCTGCACCTTGGCTCGTTTCTTCCCTCCTGCTCAGGTCGCCACTGCTTCGCTTGTCGGGGACTTTGTCTGCTGGTTTCGGGTTTGAGGTTCAGGTCTTTGAGATCTTTATGTCTTCTACCCTTGGGTTCGGGGCGTTGTGATCTTTGGGACTTGCTAGCCTTGTAGTCTGCCTGCCCGTGACAGCTTGTTTTTTCGTTCTCGGTTCACGTGGGTTTGGAGCGTTTGTGCTCATTGACTGTAAACTAACGGTTGTCAACCTTCTTGCCCCTTGTTGCTTCTGCAGCACGGTTTTTTTTTTCAGGGTTTTGGGGTTGCGGGAAGGTCTGTTGGTGACTGTGGTGCAGTGCAGGACCAGTCAAGTGTCAGTGCGCTGCAGGCCGATCTATTTTAGAGGGACACTTCAAATAGACGGCTGCATTACTTGTACAAAGATCGTGCGCACCAATTCTGTTGGGATCTCGGCAGCTGTCTTGTTTCACGTTGGCCTTCCGTTGTGATCGTCTTGGGATCCTGTTGGGTTCCGACTCTCCACCGTCGGCGGACGGGCAGATGTCACCATGGAGTTTGCGCTTTTTGTCCTGAGCTTCCCCTTGTCTCAACAATCTTCAACCAAGGTCGTCCTACGATTTCGCTCACTCGGGTGGCGAGCCGAGACCAGAGGATGTTACAACCCCGGCAAAACGAAAGGATTCTGACTATGACTAGGTCCCTAGGCCATTCTGAGCCAGCGGGCTGGTGCAATTTACTTAAACTCGATTGCATATTGGTGGTGGTGGTGGCGGAATAATCAATTCAATTTACTTAAACTCGATTGCAATAACTTGTGCAAACGGCTATGCATATCTAAGGATATGATGTTAAGTGTATTTGCTTCAACTTGAAAAGAATGTAATGGAATACCATGCACGGTGTAATACGCAAGCTCAATTTATGGGGACTTGAGGGTTTAGGGTTTAGGGTTAGGGTTTTTAGGGTTTCGGGTTCAGGGTTTAGGGTTAGGGTTCTAGGGTTTAGGGTTCAGGGTTTAGGGTTTAGGGTTCAGGTTTAGGGTTTAGGGTTCAGGGTTTAGGGTTTAGGGTTCAGGGTTTAGGGTTTAGGGTTCAGGTTTAGGTTTAGGGTTTAGGGTTCAGGGTTTAGGGTTTAGGGTTCAGGGTTTAGGGTTTAGGGTTCAGGGTTTAGGGTTTAGGGTTCAGGGTTTAGGGTTTAGGGTTTAGGGTTTAGGGTTCAGGGTTTAGGGTTTAGGGTTTAGGGGCCTCTACTTGGAGGTGCATGGTCCCAGAATCTAGTAGCTCCTTTTTGGGATTGCCTTAGAGGATTCTAAATATGAGCCCCAAAAAGGAACTACTATGGGGCCTATGGGTATTTGTAGGTTCATGGGTAGTTATAAGTGGGTTATAAGTCCCATAATCAAGGTTTTGACCATAGTTATCCTACTTATAACCCTACTTATAACTACCATTGCGGCTTCAGGTGTTTAGGAGTGTGTCTGGTTTCTCTAGGGTTGAAAGTTTCAAGGTGTTAAGTAAGGTCTGGGCTTGTAGGCTCACTTGTAGGGTTGGGGCATTTATAGTTTCCTTTAGAGAGCTGTTCATCCCTAAGAGAACACCGAGGTGAAGCCGGGTTACGGCGAAAGCTGGTCTGTCTGGTGCTGGAGGTGGGCTTGTGCTTAAGGCTTAAGGGGCTTTCTACTGGTGGTGTAAAGTTCGGGGTTTACAAGTTTCGTTAAACTGAGAGTTGCTTGTGTTATTCGTTAATGGCCAATTTTGCATAGGGCTTTTGTAATTTAAGCAGATTTACGCAATGATTAGAGGTTGGGTACTGCCCCCACTCAGTAACACTTGGATAATTTTCATCATCTATCTATATATATATATATACATATATATATATATATATTAGGAGCTTAATAGTAGCCCTATTATAGACTGTTACTGTATGGGGGGGCAGTACCCAAATTAGAGGCCCGGTCGGAGGCTGCGAGCATGCCTATGCTATTGCTTCATTCTGAGATGGGAGTTTCTGAAATTAGGGGTACCTTATTTTGGGGGGTCCTTATAATAAGGATCCGACTATATTAGGGTCCCCCGTTTTCGGAAACTCCCAGATGTCGAGAGTTGCAGAGCTTCTGATTTCGTTCTAGCCCATCGGCACAGGCAAATTGTTGTTACATGCACATGTTGTTGCGAGCGTCGTCCGCCAGGAATCAAGACCTGTAAGGCCCACCCGTGGATCCTACCTATAGTCTCCATTGTAGTTCCTTCTTTTGTTCAATTTAACTGGTTAACCCAAAAAGGGAACCAGAATCGAGACTATAGGTACTATTATAGGTCTGAAGGTGCCGACACCATACCGGATACAAATCACGCCCCTGGCGCCTCCCTGGATCTCCCCGAGCCCGGTAGCTGCCATAATGTTACATCCCACCTTGGCCAGACACTCCATAAGACTAAGACTTCTAACTTTAGGAAGTATTTCTTGAACAGCATCTGGGACCCTTAAGGGAGGCCATGGGAGGCCTTAAACCGATATCACCCTGCATCGACTATGGCCTTGAGGCTGGCAGTGTGCCGCTCCATGGCGCGGAGAGCATCTGGAGACCACTGCCGGGGGTAAAAGGGCATCGTCAGAGTTTTTCGTGCATAATGGAGATGTTCATACTGCAACGGCCTGAGAAATTGCCAATATTCTTCCTGAAATTTCTTTAGATAAGTACACTGCAAGAACATATCCCCACAGCCCTATTCCACTTATGACGGCCCTTTCATTAACGAAGGCCCTTCTGTTTGGGTCTATACAGCTAGGGGTTCCTTCGTTTCCGGCGAGGCACATGCGGGTTTGGGGGGTCCCTTGTCGGTTTGCTCTCTGCGACATGATTCCTATGCGGCTCTGTGAGGTGCTTTAGTAAGTGAGTACTTTAGACCAACCATGCGCCCTACAGCTTCTATGAGCCCTGAACCCGCAACGCCACCATCGTTTCCGGTGTGCAAATATTCGGGAAGATATGTAAAGGAGATCCCGTCGTCGTCAACCGACGCGAAGTTGGGTGCATATTTGGGCTTGGGTAGATGTTTCTAGGGCTCTTTCGGAGTTATTATTTAGTGTGCGTTCGGGTCTCTGAAACTTCATGCTAAACATATGACCCTTGTTTCCGTTCGAGACTTGCAGCCGCGATTGGTGAATCAGGCTTTGAGGGGTGGTCCGGAGCCAACTCTGAGCTGTGAGCTCATGTCTTCTCACTCCCTAACGTGTCCTTTCGCTTGTTCAGTAGCTGACATGTTTAAGAGCTTTGTGTACTCCGGACTCCCAGCCTATGTCCTGTCCCGCATCGCCTCAACCTCCTAGGTCCTAGGTCCTTCAGCGCAGTTGCTGCTAGACTACTAGAGAGATTGGTGATCGGAAGGACATGGTAGTTCGTTTGCTTCGCTTGCTGCACCTTTGCAAGCCCTAGCTTGCTACAACAGGAGGGACGGGCAATGCATCGGCTACGTCCGTTCCACGGCCTTCGGCCACACCATCGGCAAGTCCATCGCCTATGGCTACGTCGACTGTCCCGAGCCTTGTGCCCAGCTTCCCTCGAAAGGGAACGACGCGAGGAGATAAGTTCAAATCCTGGGAAGCTCTTAAGCCCATTCGCCCAAAATCTCTTAACAAGCAAGCTTTATGCTCGTATTGTATTCAATCGCCCTAAGGGTCCATGTACCCAAATAGTATAGATTTTGGGCTCAATGTACCCCTTGAGGGAGTGCTTTAAGGCCAATGTATGTACTATTTAGGTACATGGACCCTTAGGGACGGTAGGGTGTAGGGGCTAATTGTACTATTCTTAAGTGACGATACTATCAATTATAAGGTTAGCATTACTTTACAAGAACTCCGGCTAACATGGTCTATGCTCCTGTCCTGTTTTGGAAGGCGCCGCCTGCTTACGGAGAAGTTGTTCCTCCAACTCAGAATGTTGTTGTATAGTTCCCGTGGATTAAGACCGTTACAATGCTAGCAGTCGACGGTGGATCCGCTTCCTGCTTGGCTACTTGTTGACATAGATGTGTAGCACCACGGTCTCGTGCAGGCAGCCACCTGAAAGACACAGGAACATATCACAACACATCTAAAGTCAGGTCTTGGGCACGGTCAGGTAGTTTTGCCTTGTTTACGAGCGTCCCTGAACCGATATCTGTAGGCCCTGCCAAGCCGATGGAAATCGTCTAACCTACTCCCCACCGGCCACAAACCCTAAACCATAATCCGGAACTAGGAAAACAAATGTGTTCAAGCCTAATCCCCACACTGCGCCTGGCCCAGGTCCGAGCCAAAGATCACCAACAAGTGGCTTGAGGCCGGTGAGTGGCACGTCGGAGACGCCCGTCGGCAGTCCATGCGGTCGTTATTCAGGTTATAGATTATCGGGGTCCTGAAAAAATGAGACCCAAAAACGATTAACAACAACCCCCGCCTAACTTCATTGAAACTCGTTCATGCGTTGCTTGGCGTTGTTTGGCATTCTGGGATGAAACACAAGACACAAGCTATCAGCTGGTGAGGCCACTTCCAACTCCGTGAGGCCCTCCATGCCAGCTATACATCCATGAAGCCCAGCAAGGGAGGCTTTTGTGTTCCGCGATCTCGGTAGATGTTTCTTGCCAGCCCAACCCAGGACAAGGGCGAAAGGCACGCTGCGAAGTTGCACTTGAAGGCTCGGTCCAATGCACCAATGCGTCGTAGGTTTCCTACAGGCACCTACTGTAGACCGGGTTTCTCTTGAGCTGTGTTTTGTGGCGTGTGCCATATGAATCCCTCACAGCACTCCTGTAGAGCACCCATTTAGGTTTCCTCTTGTGGGCAAACGAACTATTTTGAGGGTTCCCATTAGAATCATAGTCTCCAAGACCCTATTCTAATTATAGAGGCCCCCATATCATAGTACCCTGATAGATCCCTTATAGCATCCCTTATTGGAGCCCTTTAAAGGAACCCTACTCTAACTATCAAGGCGCCTACATTAGTTTTCGCCTGGAGAGTTCCGAGCTCTAAACTGATACACAAAAACCTGGCCTGAACCTGGACCCGCCAAACTCTACGTAATATAGTTTAGAAGCTGCCCCCACCCTGTAATAGTGGTATAATAGGAATATAATAGGGCCCTAATATAATCCTATATAACCCTTATAGTCACTATTACAGGTTTTTGGCAGCTTCTAAGATATAGTGCTTCTGCCTTTGGGGTTCAGGGGTTTAGGGTTTAGTCATTTAGGATTTAGTGTTTAGGGGTTTAGGGTTTAGGTGTCTATGGTTTAGGGTTTTGAGGTTCAGGTGCGTTAATAATCAGCATCGGGCTCCTTTAAAATGTTCCTCAAAGGGGTCGATAGTAGGGTTCTCTAATCTAGTGGCCTTAATCATCAGCATAGAGATTGGAGGGGGGGGTATACTATACTGTAAGTATAATCGGGTCAACCGCACAAGTGCCTGATTGTAATGGACAGGGCTAGATGCACGATGCTGTGGGTTTTGGGACCGGTTCTAGACTTGACTCTGAAATCCTTCTAGTAATTACATAAGTTAACTAGCTAGTTGCCTATCATAGGACTAGATACTCGAGCATCGATTCGGACAAAGTCGGTTCATTACATGGGTACTGGCCTAGGTCATGCTATAATTAGGTGTAGTCTTGCTGATGTAGGGGTCTGGGAATAACTAGTATATACTAGTACCTTTTGCAGCCCCCATAAGTAGAACTCCATGCTGATGTGTCCCAACACCCTATTCTAATCCTGAAGCCTCTTTTGCCACCAAAGTGTCGGGGGACAGTGCTTTTTACCTGTTTCGAACGAGAGAACTAGAACCCCGTCCTAATTTCCACGATCCAAACCAACCTGCTAAGCCCTAACCCCCTAAAGCCTTCCATCATAAACAACACATGAACCAGTGCTGCTACACCCTAAGCCGTCAATCCGAAAACCTAAGTCATAACTCCTATCCTAAGCCCCATCGAGCCATTGGGCTGCGAGCCTTTGGCTAAGCCTTCCTGTCCAGAGGCACCCTTCGACCCCAGCAACTCCCGGGTGAAGGGCCTCTACCCGACTCGGGAGCCAACGATTGAAGGCCACAGTGGGATTTAGAGTTAAGATTGATAGAAACTCCCTATGTGTTACATATTCCCTGTATGTTACATACGGTTGATGATATAAATCCTGCATTACCCTAATAAGGAATATACCATAATTCCCATAGTCTAGGGTCCTTAAGGTAATGCAGGATTTCCATCATCAACCGTAGTATTTATTACAGACTTTGGGTGGTTGTCAAAATCATGGTCCCTTTTTGGGTAACTTAAATATTGGGTGCCGTACTATAATAAGGACCCAAAGCGGGACCCTAATATTGAGAACCACCCATTTGTAGGTAAGATACGATCCTGGCTTCGGCACGGCTCGGCTGCAGGCCTTACGGATGCTTAATCTAGGGGCTGAAATGATTAGCAATACTGTCCCTACCCCTCCTGTTCTGGGTTCTGTAAATAAAACTAAATACATCTACACATATATGTTTCCACACATAGCTACATAATCTTACTGCATCCCTCGCCGCCCCTGCCCAAACCCCCTATGGGGATCAGGGGCATGTATGACACAGGGCCTGCAGAGTATTCTACAGTTCTTTTTTCGCGTAGCTGGTCGCAATTCTAAATTCATGCTGATCCGTGGCCAGATACGTGCAAAACCGTGAATACCCCTAATCCTGGAACCTTGCCTAGCGGACTTCCGAAGCCCGAGCGAGACTATGTTGAGGCAGCTTCGAGAAGCCCAGGACTGCGACTGTGTCTATGCAGGCATGAAGCAGGCACAGGGGTAGCTTATTTTGGGGTCCTGATAATACGTAAGGATCCTACTATTTGGGGTACTAAATTATTAGATTAGGGCTTCCAATTTTCGGAAATTGGGGGGGGGTGTTCATTGTTGATGGGTTCGAGCTTTTCGGGCCAGCCTCAGAGTTGCCCTAAACTCTTGAATCCACAAACCCTTCGACGGCTAGAGAGTGGCATTGCTTCTGGGAGGCTCGGGGTCGAGGCTTACTTGGAGGATCATGGGACTTAGTAAGTAAGGTTATACGTACCTTAATTGGGGTTTTGAGTAGCTATAAGTAGAGTTACCCTAATTAATATCCCTAGTTACAGTTGGGGATCCTAGTCACTACTTAAAGGATCATGGGACTTAGTAACCAGGGTTATGATTAGGGTAACTCTACTTATAACTACCAATAACTCCAACTAAGGTGCTTATAAAAATACCTATGATTAGGGTAACTCTACTTATAACTACCTATAGCTCCAATTAAGGTACTGATAAAATTACTTACTAAGTCCCATGATCCTCCAAGTATCGGGTGGCATTGCTTCTGGAGGGCTTGGGGTCGCAGCTTCAGGTTTTCAGCGCCGATCCATCCCAGGGGCCGCCAAACTTCGCTAAACTTTCTACAAGACCCATCGGGACATGACAGGTAATTAGGGTTTTTGGGCTATGTTACACTATATAATGAGGAGCCCCCAAAATAGTATAGGCAATAGTTGTTGGATCCAAGGTTGGGATTGAGAAAGCAGCATGATTCTGAATAGACTAGAAGTATGAAGACTTGGTACTATAGCACACCTCCCCAAACCTATTCTAACGATTGAGGCCCCTACTTCAGCACAGCACGGGCTGAAGATGAATTGATATCTATGCAAAACCCTACCTTAACCCTGAATAACCTACCATTCTAGAGTTCCCTGTTATGATTTCCTTTTGTAAATCCCAAAAAGGTAGGTTCTTCAGGGTTAAGGTAAACCCCAAGCTCGGAAGCCTGCAGCCTAGAGCCGTAGCCTCGCAGGCTGATGGAGGAGATGTGAGCTGGTGCCACCCTGCAAAATTTCTACAAAGCTTGTTTTTGCTCCTTACGATGAATTGAAAGCCTGAGACCTATGTGGAGCATCTTTTGCTCCCAGTCTCGTATATAGCACGAAACAGTGCGGGACGGTTGATGATATAAATCCTGCACTGCCCATAATAAGGGAATGCTATAATTCCCATAGTTTATGGTCTTTAAGGTAATGCAGGATTTATATCATCAACCGGATCATTCAAGAGTCTGCAGCGGTTGTGCTCTCACCTGTATACTGTGTCCATAGCCCCGCGGCGACCTTGACAGCATTCTCCGTGAGGATCTGTTTTAGTGTCAGACCGCCTTCTCTGATTTCCCAGATAAAGAAATCACCCATCATTGCATAGCGTTGCTGAAAAGTGCTGGCATAACTACCACAAGCCTTCCACGCAGGCAACAATATTTCAGAAGGCTTCACCTGCACTGGTCTTGCTGAGCCTATTTCACTCAATCCGGTCGGTGTCGTGCAACGCCGGCCGAAGGCATGCAACGCTGAGCTGATATCCTGTGCTGTATCCTGTGCTTTCCCAGCAGTCGTTTGGTCTTTCATAGCTCCAGACCAGAGGTGGGCGAACAAAGCAAGTCAAAGGGCAGCAGCAGACGCTCCGGAAGCATTAACCGTACGGAGGATGCATTCCAAGCCTCACAGCGCAGCGGAAACGGAGCAGAATATTAACATTTACATGCGTACATGTGATTACAAATAGCACTGTCCAAAAAATGGGAAGCCTTACTTGGACCCGCCGCCTCCGCCCCCCATCGGGCTTTGCCACAGCGTCCAGATGCTGACACGACTGCCCTCAGCGGCCAGCACGGGCCTCGGTTGCTGCAGGCTGCCGCGGTCACCTGTAGTGAAAGCACACAGGCCTTGAACAGAGGACTGTCAATCCACCAACACACACACACACTCGGATAGACACGTCGATTCCGAGCCTGATTCTGATAGCTTCTGGTCGGGATTTCGAGAAACTTGTGTACTGATGCTCATGGGCCGCAACTGGGTCTTGCGCGAGCTCCTCAAGGGCTTGCGATCAACCCTACCATACGTTGTAGGGCCCTAGGGCCTAGCCCTAAACGCAAACCCAAGACGCTGCATAATTAATTGCACCCTAATCCGTTTCATAGTGGATCCAATGCCGCTGTCTGTCGGAGGATAGCTCGAAGCAGTTGGGTCCATTCGCTCCAGCACAACAGCCTTTCATCATCCATTCTTGGCAAGCCCTGCGCGGCAGAATCAAATCTGAATCCAAAAGATCGTCGTTCGAAACCTAGAGGTTGCGCAGCAGTTTCAGGAAACACCGAATCAGAGACATGTCGCCTTGCACATTGTAAAATTCCCTGTCTCAACGCGACTTAAGCGCTGTGGAAACATGAACTCTGGGCTCGAAGAAACTCCAAAACCCAAAGTTTACACACCTTATCTCCCTCTATCCCAACCGATTTACCCCAAGTCTTAGGTGCTAGAGTGCACAGGAGTTCGTGATCCAATAACAAGCCCCAGACGAATTGTTCCGGTTTCGACGACAGCCTCCATGCTCAGGGGATGATATCGACGACTGATGCTGGGCTTTCAAACCCTAAACCCTAAACCCTAAACCCGGCTTACCGGAGCTTCGACGCTGTGTAGGGTTCGGGCTTATAGGCTGAAGTCATTTTCGAGCCTGAGGACAGTAAGTGCCCGAGTGTTTGAATTGGGGTTTAGGGGTTTAGGGGTTTAGGGTTTAGGGGTTTAGGGTTTAGGGGTGTAGGGTTTGGGGTTTAGGATTTAGGGGTTTAGGGGTTTAAGGTTTAGGGGTTTAGGGTTTAGGGGTTTTGTGCGTGGACAGTTAGGTCCTGCGGGCTGTAGATTTCGAGGGTTGTGAGTTCCAAGCTGATTCTATGAATTGGGGACATCGTAAGCTTGATCCGCAGAAGTAGCCGTAACCAAGACAGCACAAGATTCAGGGCTCAGGCCTTATAGGAGATGAAGTTGGAGCTTGTCTGCACATGGAAAAGAGAACGCAGTCAGGGACTGAATATGTCATGATTTCCATCATCTGTTGCCTGGCAGGCTTACGCAGGACACTTCAGCCTGCAATGTTGATTCCAGCAAACTTGCTTTTGCTCATTTTGCGGAGATGTGTGGAGTCTCTGGAAGCCTCATATGTACTCGAAGCTGGAGTTTGCAAAAGTTTCACCAGCATCCCGCTATGTGGGAAGGTCGAAACAAGATCGGCGAATGAGGGCCTTGCAATCCCAAAGGGTCCCATGTACCGATATCGTAAAATGTAGGGTTTCCATATTAGGCATTACTCTTATGACTTAGGGAAGTGTCCCCCATAACAGTACATAGGACCCTTTGGGAATTGGCAGTTTAGAGCTGACCCATCGCTGGCTGGTGCGCGTTCTGTCTTGCTCAGCTTGTCATGTACTATCTTCTGCTTGCCGTCGCGACGCAAAGCAAACATATTCCCGCCACAAAGATCCAGCACACGCTCACGACCGGTCGGAAATAATCCGAGCAGAACAAAGCATGCACTGTTTGGGCAGCGCTCCTAAGGCGTATGTGCGATATGACCTCCGGTGTAATGACCGAAATACCGACAAACAAAAATTATCCCCGAAATACCGTGAATTCAAGCCTGACTCAGAACCACCCTAAACCCTAAACCACTTGCCCCCCCCCGCCCCAAGCGACCTCTGCCACGCCGTCGAGATGCTGGGACGTCTGCCTGCGGCTGCCAACACGGGCTTCGGCCTTTGCAGGCGACTGCGGTCACTTCCATGTTATGTGTCGGCAGGCCCTTATATCTATATATATATATATATATATATATATATATATAGAGAGAGAGAGAGAGAGAGAGAGAGAAAAAAAAAAAGAGAACGAGAGAGAGAGAGAGAGAGAGAGGGAAGTCTAATCTACACTATACAAGTAGGGTAGAAACATAGAATCTGGAGTTTGAGTTAGACGGTGCAGAAGCTTCTTTGGGCTTGAGCTCAAAGGCAGGGAATGTATTGAGGTGATGAGGATCCAAGATATTTCGAAAAGCCTGCGCACGCCCGCCGTGTGGTAGCTGCAGCCGCTGCAACACTGCAAGTCTTCCCCTATGAGCCCTATAGCCCATACAGTCTACGCTCTACACCTTCATCTGATTGTGGAAACCCTAAACCGTAAACCCTAAACCCTAAACTGCTTTTGCTTTCTGAGCCGGGAGAGCTCCAAGCTGTTGGCTCCAGTCGCGGCACCACAGTGTTCCTTAGCAGCTGAGTTGGCCATACCCAAACCCCCCAAAGTAGGTAAAATAATGGCCCAATACCTATAAAAGGCCATTATTCTACATACTTTGGGGGTCCAGGTAGCTATGTACGACAGAATCAGATCTGACGCCAAAGCATGTTCGTCACAATGTTCGTTTCCCTAAGGGTCCATGTACCTAAGTAGTATATACATTGGCCTTAAAGTACTCCCTGTTTGGGTACATTGGGCCCAGAGTATCTACTATTTGGGTACATGGACCCTTAGGGTTTCGAAGCCGTGCAGTGCAGGCTATGCAGCAGTTTCGCTGCGTCGCAGGAGGCCCGGGACACATCGGCTCTTAAGCATCTTGCTGTTCGCATTACCCGAAGGCCCCAAAGTGGTTCCTTTGTGTGGTTCATGTTTAGAATCCTTTTTTGATAAGGTAATCCCAAAAAGGAACTTCTGTGGGGCCTTAGGGTACGTACAGTCTATGGCGTTTCTCCTTGCAGGAAGAAGCGCCACTTCTTTTGCCGCAGCTCCTGTTCTTATTGTGGTGGATGCAGTCATGGTCGTGGTGTTGCTTCAGGTGTTGCGGGGGAGTGCCAATGTTTGCTACCTGTCGTGCCAAGATTTTTGTAGTGCATAAGCCATAAGCCCAAAGAGGCTTCGGGGGCTGATTGCCCGTTGCAGGTGCAAGCTTAGGAGCACAGGTTGTTGCCCATGGCCGCAGAGCACTCGAGGAAGAGGATTCTCACCTTGTCGCTGAGCCATGAACTGCGCAGGCCATGACCCGGGCAGAGGGCATCATCCAGCGCACCAGCCGGCTCTTCATTGATAACAAGTACGTGGAGGCAAGGGCATAATTCCGAAGCTTTGGAGGCCGCTCTACTGGTTTGAGTATATCCCCAGTTGCGGACCTATGAATACAAATTACAACTTATCTGTGCTTGTTAATGTCAATGAACTTAGAAGTACTGATGAATTGCCCATGTCGATCATCCGCAGCCCCGTTATCGAGGCCGAGAACGGCGCCCGATTGCCGGTTCTCTCACCCACGGACGGCAAATCGTTCGTACTGGGCTCAGAATCAGAAGCTGCCATTGATGCGCGACCGACAGGGAGCGACCCACTGAGATTGCATCCCCGGACATAGCCCTACCCTGTCGGCGGCTTCGCGCGTGTTCGTCATCAGCAATCTATAACGAAACCTTTCACTGCGAACCCTAGAAAGCTGGAACACCGGTGTAAGATAATTGATATTGGGATTCCCTATTGTATTTAGGGCATGAGGAGAATGATGCTCCAAATTTCTGGCTCCTACTTGATCTTTCACGATCGCAACAGACCCCAAGTTGAAGCCTGACCCCCTCATCCATGTACCCACATAGTATTAAGTATATACTTTGGGCCGAATGTACCCATATAGGGAGTACTTTAAGGCCAGTTTATATACTATTTAGGTACATGGACCCTTCGGGACTGGCCGGTGCCAGGCCAGCATTGCGCATGCATCAACTGGCGACGTAGATCGGGCGGTTCGATCGGCGAGGTCTGATACCCAGCAGTTCCCTCCGGGCTTTAGAATGTCGTGTTCCATGCGTGTAGTGATATGGGAGTTTCCGCAAATAGGGGACCCTAGTATAGTGCCCTAAATAGTAGGATCCTCATTGTGAGACCCCCAAAATAAGGACCCCTACTTTTCGGAAACTCCCATGTTGCAGCTGGTGGCTTTCACGCCAGGCTCGTCTAGAAGCCCGAGTTCCGAGTAGTCTTCTTCGTCCCATTGTTTATTCTGCCTCGTTTGTCTTGCCCAAAGGTTCCTAAGTACCTATATGGTAGAATGTAGGGCTTCTTCATTAAGAATGACTATTATGATTTGGGGAAGTATCCCCCATGACTCCAGCACCTAGGACCCTCTGGATTGTAGCTGTGCAGACAGTTTGCGCGGGTCCCTCTTCTATGGCCCCACGCCTGGACTATCAACCATAAAACTGACATAACAAACATGCCGATCATAGCCCCAAGACAGTTTCAATCTGCATGCTAAATCACAGTGTCATGGCGCCTTCGGATCGTCTGAGATAGGGCTGAGTCCAAGCTAAACTTTGTTGTTCACAAGTCTGTAGGTTTTGGAGGTTGCGGGCTTTATGAAATTCGGGGAAATGGGAGCTAGACGGAAAATGGATAGCAAATTGCATGTTTCGGAAATTCGTGAGCTGCTTCTTTCGGAGATTCTCAGAACCAGAGTTGTATTGCGGGGCTACACTAAGGGAAAGCGCGTTTGTTCTGCGACTCACAGATATTGCTTCCGGTGAATGTACACGAAGTTGTCTTGAGGAGTTTGCTATGGATCACTTGGTGCAGTTAAAGGTTCGTGTTGGTTATGTAGGCTAGCTGCATGAAGCTGTACCTGCTCGCAGCACCAGTCAAGGTACTCTTGTAACGCTATTTACAACTGGCCATGAACTTGCAAGGCTACAAGCCGTCTGTTTGCATTATCTCATCTTCCGAACCCTGTCCTAAACCTTAAACCGAATCATTGCCCCCTCCCCCCCCCCGCGGCCCCTAGCTCACCCATGCACTGAACTTAAGCTCCAAAGTGCAAACGTGGTTTAGAGCAGCCTCCCCGTGCTCAGGCGATGCTTTGACGAAGGCGACTGGGCATCGCGGTCTCCGGAGGTTCGGGTTGAGAGTTTGAGCTTTGCTTGAGGATCGAGGGTTGAGGGTTAGAGCTTTAGGAATCAGACGGTTTAGGGTTTAGGGTCAGCAGTTTGGCAGAGCATAGTTCCACTGATGTAAGAAATCCGACTACGGGATGCCACAAGTACAGGGAGCTTGATGCAGTCCTTGGCCATGTTTTGTTTTTGCGGCTGCTGGAGTCTAGGTTCGTCCGGAGCATGTAGGCTCACATTTCGCTGAACCTTGATGTGTACTACTGTAGGGGCTTAAATAATTACCGAAACTATTTCTTATTATACTTATAGTATACTGGGCCCCAACACCCTATTCTAATAATTAAGGCCCCTATAATTTCAGGCAAGTCCTTGACATGCACAAGCTCTGCATGAATGTCCGGTGGCAAACATTGGCTCTTTGAGGGTATCGCAAAAGATCTTGCGGATTTCGCACCCAGGGTTTCAATCGCAGCGTGCGTACTTAAAGGATCATGGGACTTATTAACTATAATTATAATTAGGGTAACTCTACTTATAACTCCCCAATCAAGGTACTTATAGCCTTACTTAAGTCCCATGATCCTCTAAGTAGACCCTAAACCCTGAACCCTATAGATCCCTTTAAGGAGCCGTTGTAAGGAACCCTTACTTACTAAGTCCCACGATGCTGCAAGTAGGGGGCCATTACAATTACCTATGCTAATTTGGGGGCTCCTTATTAAGATTATAGTATAATGGGCCCCAAAACCTTATTCTAATTATTACGGCCCCTACATTACTACTATTTGCTCAAGAACCCCCCAAAAAATAAAAGTAATAATCCCTATATTACCCCCATAAGGAATACATTTTTTATTTTTTTGGGGGGGGCTCTTAAGCAAATAGTAGATTAGGGGGCCATGGTGTGTCAGCTCAACTGGCCAGGCGAGGGCCGAAGTCTTGAAGAAGGTCGCGGCAGCACTTCGGTCACCGGAGGCCCATTCTGAAGTAGCAGGGTGGTGCAACCGAAGGGCCCATGTACCCAAGTAGTATATACTTTGGGCCCAATGTAGCCATATAGGGACTACTTTAAGGCCAATGTATATGCTATTTAGGTACATGGACCCTTAGGGGTAGCAGAGTGGTGCAGCTCCTTTCGGGCCTGATGGGGCGTATCACGATTCGTACTTGAAGCTTGACGATTTGGATGTTCAAGCTTTCCGGTCTGGAGTTTGGTTGCTTCGAGTGTGATGATGCGGGGCATTGTGCTTCCTTACTCAGGCGTGGTTTGAGTAGCCACAGAGTTGCGAAGGAAGTGTCTGAGGGACATCGAGAAGCTTGCGTTGCTTTGCTGACGGCAAGGCGGTCTCTGCAGCCTTCCTTGCTCCTTTGAAAAGTTCTGGTTGGCATGAGACAGGTTTCAATTTTGGCATTTTGGGTGCCTGCAGCCTTCAGAGAGCCATGGATGACTACAGAGGGCGTACCATCGGTGCGATCCGAGAAGATCCTGACGAGCTCGACGTGAGCCCGCCCCGACCCAGCGTGCTCTCAGTGCACTCAGCCTTGGATGCGGCGGTGCCCCGCGATGTAGGCCCACTCAGTGATCCCCTTGACGCCTTGGATGTGGACTTGGCAGACATGGCCTCCGGCGCCGGCGAGCCACCTCAGGGGCCCCGCGACGTAAGCACTCGGCGTGATCCCCACCGCGATGGGATGGTGGAAATTTTGACCAACATGCGGTCTACAAGGCCTGAGATCGTCCGAGCTGTTTCGGCCCGCCACGCATTGTGGATATGGGGGCAAGCATTCCGTGCGAACGGTATGAACCGTATGGGCCATTTGCACAAATACAGCCGGGCAACTCGCCGAATCGAGGAGTTTTGGTCCCACAGTTGGCATTGGAAGCCGTGGATGAAAAGCACCACTGCGCTGCTCGTGAGCAACGGCTCTGCCGCGGCGGTCCTTGGGATGGCTAGTTCTGTTCTGGCGGCAGTCTTGCTTCTTAGGGGTACTTAGAAATATTTTCTAAATTTTCGTTATTATAATCCCTAAGAAACAGCTAAGATTATAGTTTTTGCTAGGGTTCTAAGTTCAGTATAGGCTTGAAAGGCAGATTTTGCCGGTAGATAATCTCGGCTGGCAGCGGTATTTTTCCGGCTCTCACTGGACATTGCTCTTCGGGACCCTAGCTTATTACCTTGCCTTGATCTTTTGGCCATCTCAACGGCGTGTCTTCCTCGACATCATCTGCATTGACCAGGACAGCCCCAGTGCCAAAGGAGAGGCCCTGCTCAGCATCGGAGCCATCCTAAAGAGTTCTTCAAGGATGCTCATTCTCTGGGACTCCACTTGGATGGTGCCTTAGTAGCTGATGGGGATACACTTTACATTTTCTTTACTACCACCTGTACCCACTATAAACGAAAAGTGTACACTTTTGGGGGCTTATGAACTCAGCAACTAAGGAGCGCCTTTGGTGTGTCTTCGAGCTCGCGGGGTGGTTGCACAGCCGCAAGCAGGGCACGGCCGGAAAGCGAAACGTGGGTGCTCGCCCCGTCCTCCTCGGGCCGCTTCTTGTGGCGTCTAACCTGAGCCTTGTCTTGATGCTGCTTGGTGTCGAACCAATAATGTCCTACGGTCCTTGGTGGACAGTAGCAACGTATCTCATTCCGCTCTCCATGGTCCTGCCATTTTTCCTGGCTCTAAGTCACATCGGCCGAGCATTTTGCCGAAGCATGGATGATTTGCAGCAGGCTCTGGCAACATTCAGCGCTGGGCAGACCAAGTGCGGCTGTTGCGATAGAGGGCATCTAGATGGCAATGGTAAGCCAGTGGCTTGCGACCGCGAAGTCTTGTTCCGGTGCATTGAGCTCTGGTACGGGGACCTGGACCGCTTTGAAGTACATGTGAGGGGAGACGTACGAACCGCTCTCTTGGAACAATTGACGAGTCCGCTGTTCCTGTACGGGCACGTGGTTGGAGCGGCCAGTCCCGTCATGTGGTTCTACCTGGGAAACTCGTATTGGCCGTTGCTGACCCTGACAGGCTCCACGGGACCTGTATTGTCTGTTCTTGTTCATGGTCTGACTGTGTGGCTGGCTGTGATACCTGCTGTGTTTCTGCTTTCAGTAATGCTGGCATACCGGCTCCGCAGAAAACGATCCTATTTTGCTTTTGACATTTTGTGCAGCATGATGGTGGTTCTCGCCGGCGGGTTCGTCGCACTGGCCAGCTTGGCAGGGACATTCGGTTTTCAGCTCATGGGCCCCGCAGCAATTCCGATTCCCGCGCTGGCTGTTAACTTTGCTTGCAATCTGTGTGCAGCGTTGGCGTGCAGCTTCCTGTTTGCGAAGGCGAGGAGATGTGCACTGGCCATCTAGGTTTCGAACCAGGTCTGACTGAGGGTCAGAAGGCTGCCAGTGGACATCCATGGAACAAGACGGCGCAGGGCCGTGACCTGATGCTGTGTACACGAAGGATGGTTGGGTAGGGGCTGTACACTCATAAGGGAGTTTCCGAAAATAAAGGGTACCTTATGTGGGGGTCCTTATAATAAGGATCTTACTATTTAGGGCATTTTATTACGGTCCTCTATTTTGGGAAACTCCCATATAAGTTTTGCACATCGAACCTGGTGTGGAACCATATCCAGGTGAGAAATGTTGATCCCACTCACCCTCCCGTGCGGAGGTTCCCGAAGCGGGCAACCAGTATGGTAGGACATCTACCATTCATTTTGTTGGGTGCGAGCGTCATGCCATAGCGTGTGCGAGTACCGCCGATGCGGCCCTCATTCTTAGCTGCAAAGACAGGGCCTCAGGCACTGTACGGAGCTGCAAGATGAAAAAGCGAGTGCGGCACAATGTTAACACCGAGAGCGCAAGTTCATGAGCAGCAAACTTATGAAAGTGCTTATTATAGGGGCATCACGGGCTCTTGGTGCACTTTCCATTCTTGCCCTCGTTGACGGCTCATGGCTATAGCGTCATGTCGCTAATTATCGCTACTGCATCGTCATGCATGTATCATGAATCATGCACTCAGCTCCACTACCTACAGAAACCATCCATGGTGATGGCATTGAAGGACCTCAGGCCAATAGCATAGTCGAAACATCATGACTCGGTGTTCCTTTCAGTCGTCGTTTGCACGAGTAGCCGATCAAGACTGCCATGATCTTCGGTACCAGTCGAGAAGCCATGATCGAGACGGCAATAAATCGAAGAGGACTCAGCCTAAACCCTAAACCCTAAACCCTAAACCCTAAACGTCCCTGACCCCTAAACTTCCTAACTGCTGGCACACCCTAAACCCTGAACCTTAGCGGCATGCTATGCCTGAACCCTAAACCATAAGCCCTGACCCTAAACCCTGAACCTCGACGGCATGCTACGTAGCTCGAGGCTCACGGCCCATTACCTTAAAGCGGTAAACTCGGCATTCCGAGAGGTGCTGGAAGCATTCTGTGCACCGGGCTCGGCAGCTTTCCAGGGGGTCGAAAGAGTTAGCAAGCATATCACAAAACATTCGCTGAAAGCCTCTATGCAGTTGTACAAACATATACATATAAATAAATATATATATATATATATATATATATATATATGTAACAACAACGTGTTCGAACACGCTGTTGAAAGTAATTGGCCCACATGCTCGCAAGCGTGAGTTTGGGGTTCGGGGTGTTTCGGGGTTTTGGGACGACGGCTTGGGTGTCCGGGGAGTTGGAGTGTAGTAGGTTTAGGGTGTTGGGTTAAAGTTCCCTAAACCCTAAAACCAGGGTGCTGGGATTGAGGCTTCTCGGCTCGAAAGCCTAAACCCAAAACCATTATAGAACCCTTATAGGGTCCCTTTAAAGGAACCCTTATGGATCCCTTTAAAGGAACCCTAAACCCTACAACGGGGAATTTGCAGGCTGGGAGGGTGGAGGTGAGGCTTCTGGGGTGTGGGGTTAGGGATTTTTCGCTTCAGGTCTAAGGAGGCATCAGGGCTCTAGGGTTAAAGGTTTTAAGCTTAAGTTCTCATGGTGTCGTTGGGTTTAGGGGTTTAGGGTTTTAGGGTTTAGGGTTTAGGGTTTAGGGATGCTGGAAACAGCTGCCGAATCGTACCTTAACCGGACATCTTTGCCCATACAGCGGTTCCGGGATGAAGGAAGCGAGGCTTGTGTCGGGGTTTTGGGCCATGAGTACCCGAAAGGGCAGTGCACGAAAGACCTCATCGTGCAGCCGCACATGTCGTGCGAATGCTGATAAGACCTTACAAACTTTACCTTGAACTACGTAACTCCTACTGTTTGGTCGCGCCCCTACAAATTCTACATTAGGGTCTCTAAGAAGAACCTACAAAAATTTGGGTTATGGTAGTTTCAGGTAGGACCTACAGAGCCTGAAGCCTCAGGTCATAGAAAGCAGAGATTGCGGAAAGCCTTTCGCGGAGAGTACGGCCCCTAGGAAGGAACTGCGGGGTTTAGGGTTTAGGGTTTAGGGGTTTAGGGTTTAGGGGTTTAGGGTTTAGGGTTTTAGGGTCTATAGGGTTTAGTGCCAACGGAACATGAGAAACAAGCGCTTGCTTTAGGGTTTGGGACAATCCTGGACCGTCTCTTGAGTCGACAAAACCACACCATCCCTGAACATGTCGCGCGGTCCTTCCCTCTTTCCCGAACAAGGGTTTAGGGGGTTTAGGGTTCAGGGACAAGTCCCATTTAATATATTTCCTGTTCCCGACAAACCTGTTGCTGTTTACGGTGAGGTGCACGGTTGATGATATAAATCCTGCATTACCCATACTAAGGAATATACCATAAATCCTTAAGGTAATGCAGGATTTATGTCATCAACCGTAGTATTGGCGTGAAGGGAGGTCTGCCGAGTCCGTGGCCATGAAAATCGCAACCATAAAGCCGTTCAAAGATTGGTTTGCAGGCGATTCATGACATTGTCGGGTTAGGTACAAACCCCGAAAAGACAAACCACCAATTCGAACATCAAGATCGGCATTGATTTTAACCGCAAGCACACCTGGCACCTGTCAGGGTTTGACATGGCCTGAACTCTCGAAGCCGTGGTATGAACTCCGAGATGCGCTTACTGTGTTGGTGAGTAGCTTCGGAAGCAGCGTCTCGTCCCAAGGCATGATCGGTGTGTCTTGCTTAGTTTCAGAGCCACAGTAATACTTGGGTTGGCGGGGTTTGGAGGCATATCTACATGAGGGATCCACGGGATAATAAGATTTATGAAGTATTCGACCCCTGCCTGTTAGCGCCAAACAACCCTAGATCGTCGAAGCCCCAAACACGCAGTGACATTAAAACCCAAACCCATAAATCCTGAATCACAGCTCCCTACGTATTACTTAGGTATGAGGACTGAGTACGAATGCCACCTTCCAGTCAGTGTATAAGTGTACTGTAATATCCCGCACGACCCGGCCCACACCCTATTCAAGCCGAAACCCCAAACCCAACTTAAAGGATCATGGTACTTAGTAACCAGGGTTATAAGTAGGGTAACTCTACTTATGACTACTTATAGCTCCGATTAAGGTACTTATAACCTTACTTACAAAGTCCCATGATCCTCCAAGTAAACCCTAAATCCTAAACCCTAAACCCTAAATCCTAAACCCTAAACCCTAAACCCTAAACCGAAACCTGAGGTCAAGGAGATCTCGGCGTGTGTGCAGACACCTTCGACTATTATGCCCAGGCGGAGATCTGCCATAGGGTTTAGGATTTAGGGTTAAGGGTTTAGGATTTAGGGTTTAGGATTTAGGGTTTAGGATTTAGGATTTAGGGTTTAGGATTTAGGATTTAGGGTTTAGGGTTTTAAGAAAACCATAGGATTTAGGGTTTAGGGTTTTAAGAAAACCATAGGATTTAGGGTTTAGGATTTAGGGTTTAGGGTTTTAAGAAAACCATAGGATTTAGGGTTTAGGGTTTTAAGAAAACCATAGGGTTTATGGTTTAGGGTTTTAAGGAAACCACAGGATTTAGGGTTTAGGGTTTTGCGGGGTGATGTCCATTTCTTGAGGTAATGGGCGGCAATGGGCAGATTTGCAGCAGCCGCATCTGTATGCCAGAAACCTTCTAGGTCATATAGAGTCTATCTATAAAGAGTTTATCTAAGCAGTTGCGGCGTCCAACGCACTTGACCACTGACTACACAGGATGTCGCGCAGTTTACGGTGCATAAGGCTCTGAAGCCAAGAACGTAGCCGGAGATTCCTCCAGCATGTGCTTCAGAAAGCAACGCTTAGACGTCAAGACTGCCCGACAGGACGGCTGCTGCGAGCAGAAAGTAGTCCATTTTCAAACCCTGTCCGGGGCTCTTGCATACATAGGCAAATGCCACCAAATTTACAACACGGTCCAGTCAAATCAAGCAAAAAGATAAGCCTGCGCAGCGTGGCCGTCGCAGAATCAGGCTCGCTCCCTGCCCCTAAACCCCAGGGCAGATGAAATGAAATGCTGAAACTTCTAGACCCCCCCCCATGATATGTCTTTGACAAATCTTTTGTAGCAGAAAGCCAAAACCCTGAGGCCCTCAACCCAGTATGCCTAACGCTTCGATCCTCAAAGCCCTATAGAGGTCGGAATACTTTTTACAGTTTAAACAATGAAATAATACTATGCCCCGATATCCAATTTCAGTTGTTGTGGCTCCTGTATACACCCTGATACTATAAATCCCTATATGGTACAGCCTTAAAACCCTTTTGAAAGGGTTGCATCATAAGGTGTGCAGCTGCAAGTACAGCTCTAGTCTCCTTAGGAATTATTTTTTACTTTTCTTCACACAAAACCCAAGAGAATATTTCAAAATACGATTTGTTATGGTTCTAAGGGGGGTATAGTCATTCCTTGTGTTTGGGAAGGGGTGGGGGGGTTGGGGTTTGGGGTTTAGGGTTCAGGGTGTAGGGGTTTTCTTCTTAGATCCCCAATACCCAACTTTTTGAACTTTTTGTGCTCTTGTCGTTTAGAAGGAATCGGAAAGTTTAGCATTCTATTTCTGTGGCTTATTGGGGTTGTAAGTCCTTGTGTTTCGGGTATAAAGGGAACTCCAGAAAGTTGGAATATGGATTAATGGTGGGATCCCCTATAATTTACCTTAAAGGGGTTAGGATAATGATATTCCTAAACCCCTAAACCCTAAACCCTAAACCCCCAACTTTCTGGCTTCTACTGTAGACAGTCGCAGGTGACGCCCAAGGAGATGCAGCCAAAGTCCTTGGCCCTCCCAGAGGGCGATGCTGCGGATTTCGTGGCGAGGCTCGTGGCTCTGCTTTAGGGCCTTTAGGGTGTGTGGGTTTAGGGCGTAGGGTTTAGGGCTTAGGGTTTAGGGCTTAGGGTTTAGGGTTTAGGGCTTAGGGCTTAGGGTTTAGG